AAATTGTCTAGGCCATGTTTTCCCAAACCTGGTTCCTTTAAATAGAGGTGAATTCAACCCTGGGTCTGGTTGGAAATTTTTGGGTTTAAAGCCCCATTAATAAAAAATTGACCAAGTTTGGACAACACTGCCCTAGACCATTTAGACACACTTCCAGAGGCATCTGGAGCAAGCCATGGTTTGTGTGTTATGATGTTACAACACAAGCTCCACCTCTTAGATACTTACATGCAACTTTGTGTCACAAGTCCAGAAGGGGCAGAGTTTGTGTTGCAGAGCTGCAACTGATATTCTCACTGCTCTCCCTGTTGCACGCTTCCCCCCCCATCCATTTTAGCCTAGTGGATTGCAGTGTTAAGGGTTTAAGACATGGATAAACATGGCTTGATTCAAACTTATCATTTGTTTCCATTCTAGCATCCTCAATTCTGAAGAGTGAGAAAAGGAAGAGGACAAAAAATGTACATTTTAATTGTGTTACGGTATACTACTTTACCAGGAGGCAAGGGTTCACAAGTGTTCCCAGCCAAGGAGGCAGCACTTTGGGCATGTCCACTCGTCACAACAGTGTACGCCAATACACTCTTGGGGAGTTTGCGATGGAACAAGAGCGGCTTCATCGAGAGATGTTAAGAGAACATCTCAGGGAGGAAAAGCTGAACTCCTTAAAACTCAAGGTAAAAAGAAAAAAGAAAAGGGATCTCCCACCCCCAGCCACCCCGCCCCAGCACACAGACCCAAAACGTTAACAGTGGGATTGGCACTTAATATCCTTGGCAAGGTTGCATCTCTACTTCTAAGATGGCTGCAGTTTAATTGCTTCCAACAAGCTGGCATTGACCCTGTCTCTCACATTAACTCATCAGATTTTTAATAGGCTTCCACCTGGGCTCTTTAAGATGATCACTTTCTTCCTGCTATGCAGATACGATGGCAATTTGTTCCACCCCATCAAAGTTCCAGCTTTGATCAGAATGTAAATATGGTTAAGCCAGCTGCTAGGTGTGGATTGTTTGGCACAAGAGATTTTGGGCTGATTTTCAGGAAGTTTTTTTTTTCCCCTTTCTCTCTGAATCATATAATGGGCTGCTGGGAAAATTGTTGCAGCCAACTGTACATACTCTGTGTGATATCCAGTTGCAGAAAATGCTGAAACTTATACCCTTCAGTTTACACAGGGACTTACTTTGATTCTCTAGGAGGTGATTCTCTCTACTGGACACATCTGCCAGTGATAGGTCTGATATTGTTTACCTGGATATGTATTGTTAATTGCTGCATGCAAGCTACTTGACACACACACATATATACTTTTTTTTTTTACAAGGAAGTCCTGGGCAAATGGCAAAATATTAGGGCTGTGTAAAGCATTTGAAACAGGTGTTTTGCAAAGTGCATTAACACAAACCACCTATCTTTAAAGTATTAAAGCAGCTGCTTCCTTTACAGGGCTGATATGGCTGCTTCCAAACTGTCCTTGGTAGTGGATGCATGAAACCAGTTTCTCCTGGGCCACCAGCAAAGAGAAACAGCTGGGCATCCACTCCCATGCAGAGACAGCAAGGGATATATTTCAAAGCAGCCATGTGAGCTTTGCAAAAGACATAGCTGCAGAAAAGAGGTGCTTCGATCATGCTAAGCAGTTTTGCAGAGCATCTTTCTGAACGTTTTTCCAGTCCTAGGGGGTATTCCAGTGGCGTCTGCGAGGGAGGGTCAAAATCAGCAAGGTGGCAGATGGAGCTTCCCAATGGAAGCCCTGTCCCTTTTGTGCATGCACATTCAAAAAGGAGCAGGAAACATTGTGGCATTCCCCAGAATACAGCTGATGGGACATAGTAGTGTGAAGAGCACCGTAAAAATAAAGCTGATTATGTGTTATCCTAAACCAGTGTTTCTCAAACTTGGCAACTTTAAAATGTGTGGACTTCAATTCCCAGAATTGCTGGCTGGGGAATTCTGGGAGTTGAAGTCCACACATCTTAAAGTTGCCAAGTTTGAGAAACACTGTCCTCAGCCCTTGATTTAATGGACTACTGGGAGGAAGGTACATCCCTTAAAGTGAGTATTCATTAAATCCAAATAGGATTTTATGCATGCATACTTTATACCTTCTATGCATGTATAAAATAGGAATAGGATGTTACACGTATGCATTTTATGTATGCGTAATATGGCAAATAGGATTTTACGCAAGCAAAAAGCATATAGTGTACAGACAGATTTGGTTCATTGCACTGGGGCCTGCTGAACCAAAATTGTTAAAGGGAGGATTTATTGTGTGTTACCAAAGCTTGGTCTATGGTATGAGCTGTTTGTAAATGCTTTAATGCGACTTCACTCGTTCAGATATAGTAAGAGCCGTTGAAACAAAGCAGAGATATTTAGAGATAATGCGGTCCTCATAAATCAATTCCACGCTCTTGTGTAACAAAGCTTATGCTGTGTAAATTGTTTCCATTGTACAAACATTCTGTTCAGTGGAGCTGTGACACATCTTTTAATGTTCCTTACTGCAGATGACTAATAATGGCACTGTGGAATCTGAGGAAGCAAACACTTTGACGCTGGATGACATTTCTGATGATGATATAGATCTAGACAACACTGAAGTCGACGAGTACTTCTTTCTACAGCCTCTGCCAACAAAGAAACGAAGGGCCCTCCTGCGAGCCTCTGGAGTCAAGAAGATTGATGTGGAAGAAAAACACGAGCTGAGAGCCATCCGTCTTTCAAGGGAGGACTGTGGCTGTGATTGTCGAATCTTCTGTGACCCGGAAACTTGCACTTGCTGCCTTGCAGGCATAAAATGCCAGGTGAGAGGGCTTCACTAAGGTACTCTTCACCAAGGGATAGTTCCAGGTGTTTTATGTTCAAAAAAGGAAGGGCGTCCTGCCCGTTCACACTGATTTAAGTGTTCTATAAAGCGCTGCCCAACTTTTCCAGCCACAGGAAGTTTCAGCTGTGGTCGAAACATAAGGTGGTGGGGAGTCATTTGTCCCTCCAGATGTTGCTGAAACACAAATCCCAGCAGTTGCAGCAGGAATGTCCAATATTGAGGGATCTGAGGAGTAATTCACTGTCATCTGGAGGGCCATGGATTCCCTATGCAGCTATAAAATGCATTTGCTTAGAAGTACATGGCAAAGTACAATAAAGAAGATATGGTACAGGTAATTCCCAGGCTAAGAACGTCTGACTTACGGACAACTCATACTTACGAACAGGCTGCCTATTACTAAAAATGGCGGATGGCGTTCCTCCTCAAGCCGATGAACCACTGAAGCTGCGCAATGTTTTCATGAACCATTGAAGCCACACATTTTTAATATGCAGCCTGTTTTCAGTGATTTTCAACGGTTCATGAAAACATTGCGTGGCTTCAGCGGTTCGTCAGCCCAAGGAAGGAGAACGCTGTCTGCCATTTTTAGTAACAGGCAGCCCATTCAGAAGTACATATGACTTACATACAAATTTGAGTTAAAGACAGACTTAGAAACGGAACTCGTTCTTAACCCTGGGACTGCCTGTATATTCATAAGGCAGATAGCCCAAGTTTTGGTCTTGGATCAGCATCCCTAAGAGCTGTTTTCTCCAACTGAGTGGCCTCCAGGTGTATTCTCAGAGTTCCTCATAAGTACAATAATGTTCCATCATAACTTAAGGGCAACAGGTTGGAGAAAGTTAAGTTTTAGAGCCCCATTTTTGTTAGCAGTAGGGTTAAGATTCTCCTGATAAACTTTTCAGCAGTGCTGCTTCCTGGATTACCAGCGTAGCTATAAAGTTCTGTGATTTTTAACAGAACACATGTTAGACTTCAAACATTCTGTTTCCAGGTTTAAAAAAGATTAAAGAGACTTTCACTGTTCATCTTATAAACATCGTAATGGAAATAAAATCAACCTCCTCCCTGCTTTTGTGTTTGTGTTTGTGCTAAAGAAGACACACGCTAGTGCGATTTCATATGATGCTGATGTTTATGCTGCTTAAGATCCATTTGGAGTGAAATATCCAAATTCACCCCCGCCAATTTCACAGTGGAATTGGAGAAAAACAGAGAGCAGCAAGTGGGAGCACCACTTCTCTCTCACTTCTGGGGCATAGCCTTATCCCATCCATGAATATGTAAGTGCAGCTAGGGTTGACTAAAATGCCCCATCAAGCCTGAATATCTGAAACAAGAATCTACTGCGGCTTCTGCTACTTAGCAGTCACCTGGGTTAATCCTAAATGTTGGCATAACCATTAGGAGTCATTAGACCAGCACAGTAAGGGGAGGGTAGTGATACTAGAGCAGAACAAAGGGATAGGAGGTCCCATGGCACATTTGTCATCGCTTAACCAGACCAAGCTGTCATTCGTCTCATAGCCACCTTGTCTTCAGTAACTGGATTCACCGTCCGTGGGGAGCCATAATGTGGTTTGTGTGTTTTTGGCTTAGTGTGATGTGTGAAAGCCATTCTCATTTATAAATCATAATTTCTAATGAGGTATGAAATATAGCTTCTTCTAAAAAGCAAACCAGGGCTTAGTGCAATTTGCAAAGCCAGACAGCTCTCCCTTTCCAACATCTCTTATCTGGATTTCTTTCTGCCAGAAAGAAATTTTGTAAGACTAGTTTTTATCTAATGTAATTAATTTATTTCATATATCAGCCTTCTGCAAGGCTTCCAAGGCAATTTTCTTTGATGAAGTTTCTTGTTTTACTAACAGTGTCTAGCATGTCACGTTCGATAGTCCCCAACCGAACCCTTAATCCATCATCTTTTTTCTAAGGTGGATCGTATGTCTTTCCCATGTGGTTGCACTAAAGAAGGATGCAGTAATACAGCTGGTAGAATCGAATTTAACCCCATCCGGGTTCGGACTCACTTTTTGCACACTATCATGAAACTTGAATTGGAGAAAAACAGAGAGCAGCAAGTCCCCACACTGAATGGTTGCCATGCTGAGCTAAGTGCGCACAGCAGTTCAATGGGCCCCACCGCCCACCCACTAGAATTCACGGTTCCAGAGAACTTTGAGCTAGAGGCAGAACCTCGAGCTGCAGTGGTGCACTTGCAATCGGCAGACGACTTGGATTGCCCAGGAGAGGAAGAAGAGGAGGAGGAGGAAGATGCAAGTAGCTTTTGTAGTGGGGTTACAGATTCCAGCACACAGAGTTTAGCGCCCAGCGAAACAGATGAAGATGAGGACGAGGACGAGGAGGAGGAAGAAGACGAAGAGGAGGAGGAGGAGGAAGAGGAAGAGGAAGAAGAAAAAATAGATGAATGTCTGGAAGGCTTGGGGGCTCATGCTGATGCAGGTCAAGCCCTTCCTTCTGTCCTTTGCTATTCAGACAGCACTGCCATGCATGAAAACCAGCCAAAGGCTATTTCCTACTATCCTAGCTCCTCATCGCTATATTACCAAATAGAGAATCACGGCCCTGGCACTCCTAACCAGATTCGGGAGACTTACTCTGAAAGAGAAACTGTTAAGAACGGTAATCTTTCTCTGGTGCCTTATAATCCAACTTCAGAACCATTTGTGGACTACGCGCGGCCCTCAGAGGAGAATTATGGCAGCTCCCTGTATCCTTCTTCAAACCCGTCTGTCATAGTTTGCTGCTCCTCGTCAGAAAGCGATAACGTTGTTCCATGTAGCAGTTTATATGCTGAACATCGGCCAAGGCATTCCCAGGTGGACTTTCCTTCATACTTGAAAAGTCCTTCGCAAGATGGATTTGTTTCTACTTTGAATGGTGGCACTCACCTCCCAGAGCGTCCCGCTGAGAATTCACTCAGCCTTTCAGAAAAGAGCAGACTCCATGAAGAGTGTATCAAATCTCCTGTCATGGAAACAGTACCTGTTTAAATGATTTTAGGACCGAATCACTCTATTTCAAATGCACTCTATTTTAATTGGATTCCCTGGAACCATTCTTATTTTTTCTCTCAGCAGTGGAGGTAAGGGGAAAGACTGTAGTTAATGTTTTGATTTTTTTTTCATTGTTGTTTTTCTGTAAAGCTCTACTGGCTGTGGCCATTGCACAAAAACAGTTTGTGTAAAAAGTAAACTTTTATAAAAATAGAATGGTCCTTTGATAGGAAATACCCAGATTTTAAAATAATCCACACAGACATATATATCCACATCCACATACATATAGTACAAAAAGCAGCCCACATATTGATTTATGTTGGGCTAACTTACAGCTTCTTATTTTATTGTCGGGCCTGTGCAAGATAATAAAAATGTTACTTTGGGATCTTTATGTTTGGGGTATTAAAATATCACTCCTATTTGAAGGTGATGACTTTTTAAATATAAATGTGACTGCAAACAAAAAAAAACCTGAATTATTCAGTAATGTATATTTTATTTATTGTAGCTTAGTACTCATATCTTGATAAAAATGAACTGCTTGCTCTTTGGAGCAGAACAGCACAACCAGATTTCATTAGGCAAATAGATTTTGTGAGGGCAGTACAGTTGACCACAAACCCTATTCTTTGATCTGCACTAGGGACTATTCATATCTGTAACCTAGGAATGTAGGGGATAATCCAGGACATACCACTAGTTGGACATATTTAGTCATTTTGGTGACACTGGTGTGGCGTTCTTGTTGCAATTCCTGGCCAGTCTCCATCTCAAGGAGAGGAGGATATATAAGAATTCTGTTTTCTAAATTGCAGGTGGAAGCAGGAACATTTTTGAGAAATGTGTAACATAGGACAATCCTTAGATTTTTTGGGGGGTGGGGGGAAGCAGCATTTAGCATTACAAGGAAGCTGGGTTATATTTTGCTACTCAATTCTATCTCTCCATTCTTTTCAATCCATAAACTATCCTGGGTGAATGCATAGTATTAAATATGGACAATATCCAGTCATACTTCTTCAGATCTTCTCCTTATTCTTCCCCACATTCACTGGCCATTTTTCCTTCTACCAGCACTGTTTTCCTTATGGCAACCCTCCCATTTGTGAAGAACTCTGTTGTCAGAAAGCAGAAAATGGTGGATATATGGGACTGGCTTGGGCCCTCTATTAAATAAGAGCACAGTTATAGTCTTTCCATGGTTATTTCTTCATGTAAAGTTAGGAATACTATATTTTTATTTATTAAAATTATCTCCCTACTTATATGGTGCTCAGAGTGATCTCCACAATAGCTTAAGGTATAATTCAGAGAGAATGACTGACCCAAGGTTATCTTTGGAGGATTTGATTTGGGTTCTCCTTGTGGTTTGCTCATCTCCTCACTGGCACACTTGCTTTCCATTGGCCCTGGAACCATTTACTCTCCCCTGCATACAATAATAGTATGCAAAGAGTCACATGGGAACATTAAGCACACTGCTAATGGAAACAATCCAGAGATATCAAAAGGAATTCCTTTAGTGGAATGTCACATTCCATTGCTTTTAGTGGGACTTCATTGCAATTAACTTTTAGTGGGCTGTGTGCTTTGTACAGGGCAGAGCTGCAGCTTTTGAGTAAGTATCTTTTTGTTGTTCTGCAACTAACACACTTTAGTGGTGGTTCTTATTTGTAGTGGCTATGAAGAATCTTGAAGACATCACAGACTTAAACATTGCTTCTATTTTTTTTTTTTAATATTCTTAAACATTGCTTCTATTTTTTTTTTTAATATTC